GTTATTTATTTAGAGTAGCCAAGCATGGTTTCTTACATGGTAACTTGAACCTTTTATCATAATCCTTTTTTCTGTTTCTCTACAGATACTTTTAGGGAAGAGGGACAGTAGTTTGGGGAGAAGGAGGAGTGGTGTGAGGTGGTCAGCACACCTTCTTACCCATACAGTTTCCCTCGTCATATACCTCCCTGTCAGCTCTAATACTACCCTTCAAGGGCAGCAGTAAGGAGGTTTCATAGACAAAAGAAAATATCTCCTTACCATATCATGACTGGAGTCTCAGTTGCACGTCACTTGCATTGTTGTATAGTCATAGTATGTGTGCTAAGTAAATGCTTTTGGAGGAAGTCAATGGAAAGAATAATATTACTAGAATTATACACAAAAAATCACCCAAAATATCCTTTTCTTATAACCTGACAATAATGCTAAGTGATTCAATTGTGCACATTGGAAAACAAATCTTAAAAGAGAAAAATATTGATCATTATAGTTAAAGTTCTTTTTCCAAATCCAACTATGTATTTGGATTCATTATTTATAGCGAATAGGAAGTTCACTATTTATAATTATGGTAAAATTCTTTGCAAAGGGCTTGGTTTTGTAATACAAGTACTTCTTAAATGGTCAGTTTTGACTTTTGTTAGTTTAGTTATCTTAGGATCCTTTCCTAAGACAGGCTACCCATGTTAGTATCAGCTATGTAAAGACACGGGGAGCTCTTTTCCCCAGGAGAAATCTCTGGTAATTTTTGCTGCTTCTCTGCAATTCATCTTCAACAGTTTTTTTTCCCCCAAGTGAGTCTATGCAATTTCTGTAGTCACTACACAGTCTGTGCAATTTGAAAATTCACCTACATCCATTAACGCTCCTTGCTATCTTGATAGGATAGTTTTGCCTAGCACTGACCGGTTTAGAAAGCAAATATAAACAAACAACTAGCAGGTTTTTGTTACTGCTATTGCATTTGGATGCTACACTAGGTAGAACAACATCATCAAATATGTTTTAAGATGAGGTTACATGCTTTTATTATTTACTAGCCAGTGCTGATAGCAGTAATTGGGGTCACTGGACTACTGAATTCAGGAGGCTTCCAGAAAACCACATGGACATTTTGCATATGTCATTACAATCCTAGAACTCAACCTGAAAAATTTTTTTGTTAAGTCAAGGTAGTTGTACAGTGCCAAGAGTCTAGGTTTTGCTATCAGACAGCTCTAGATTTGAAATCTGCCTCCTGCTAGCTGTGTGACATTCTGCAAGTCGCATAATGCTAATGACAACAATAACAATACTACTGCTAATAAAAACATAACAACGTTAGACTGTCAAACAGGCATCTAGTGGTCACCAAATGTTAGGCAGAGTTTGCTTAATATTGTTTATACCTACTATCTTATTTAACCCTCAGACAAATGTGAGACAAATACTATTATCATTTTATAAATGAGTAAAAAGGAGAACTTAATACTTCAAGTACACACAGTTAGCATATATGATCTGTGGCAGGAACCCACTATTCCATCTGCAGATTTCAAGCTTTTAACCATAGTCAACTGCCTCTCTGAACCTCAGTTTTCTAATCTGCACTCTAAGTGCAAAATAACTATCTCGTAGGGTCGGGAGGAGGAGCAGGGATCTCACAGTTACTGCTTCTAAAACTGGTCATTTATAATTGCTGCTGGTAGTGTTGCTATTATATAACCTTAGTCAACTTCTAACAGGAAGGATGTATGAATACTTCCTTCTTTGCACTCATGTTTTTAGGAATAGAGCTAAGCCCTACTCACTTAGGAAAGGCTGGTAGTATCTCTAGTTTCAGCAGGGCCAATGAACAGGGTCAACTAGTGACTCAAGCACCCCATATGTGACCATCTGCAAGCCTGCCTAGAAATACAGACTCTCCAGTAACCTGCTTTCTTTGGTAAGATAATTAGTTCTTTCCTTTGGAGCTATGGGGAGTTAGGCATGAATCTGGGGCCATGGTCCAAGATACATTCTGTGTCTTTTTGCTTCTTCCCACGAAGAGAAGATCTTTCCTGCTGGTGGTTCTACCTGTCATTCTTCCTGGGATTTTGCCCAGTTAACTTAAGGAAGGTATCTGACCCTATAGCATCATAAGACTTTTTTTTTTTTTTTTTTTGAGATGGAGTCTCGCTCTGTCGCCCAGGCTGGAGTGCAGTAGCACAATCTCAGCTCACTGCAACCTCTGCCTCCTGGGTTCAAGCAATTCTCCTGCCTCAGCCACCCGAAGTAGCTGGGACTATAGGCGTGCACCACCATGCCCAGCTAATTTTTCTATCTTTAGTAGAGACGAGGTTTCACCATGTTGGCCAGGATGGTCTCAATATCTTGACTTCGTGATCCGCCTGCCTTGGCTTCCCAAATTACTGGGATTACAGGCGCGAGCCACCACGCCTGGCCAGCGTCATACGACTTCCTAAAGGCTACTGCTAACCAAGCATCTTAATGCAAAACACCTTGTCGAAAGCAGCAGTCTGTTTCAATGGCCATGACTTTAGTAGCAGTCCCTTCTTAACACTAACAGCTAACCGAGAGCAGTGTTATAAAGCATCAGTGGCTACTTAATTGTAAGCTTAAAGGCTGGATGTGTAATTATTAAAGATATACGCTTACGTTATAGAAATACTTTTGGACCACACAAAAAGTATGGAACAGTCGCCATCCAAAGCCTCCCAGGCACCAGGCGATGCTTGTGCAGAAAGGCCAGGACTGACGCGACAGCCTCTAATCTGCAGGGGACAATCTGCTGGTTGTCACCCAGTCGTCTCTGTCCCCGCAACATATGGGCAGGCAGGGGATGGACAAAGCTACATCTGGAGCTCCTTCTGCTCACTGCCCTGCAGCCATGAAGGCTCCAAACCATGGCACATATGAAAAGTACTTTGTGTGTTACACAGTTATTTAAATACCTCCCAGGCTAAAATGTCCCAAGCAGCTTTTCCTAACATATGGACCCAGGTCTTCCTTCATCAGAATCACCTGGGTGACTGATGAACATGCAGATTCTTGTGCATATTTGTCTATTTATCAGTTTATTTGTCTCCCTTGATAGCATGGAAGCCCTGGAGAGTAGAAGCTGTCTCGTTTACCCTGCTACCCCAGTTCCTACAACACTGCTTGGCACTCAGCAAGTGCGCAATAAATATGTGTGGGATGAATTAATTCCGGGGTCCTATGCTGACCTACTAAATCAAAAGCCCTAAGAATGGGGCCATGCATTTTAAACAGGGACTTGGGCGATTATTATGCTCACTAAATTTTAAGAACCAGCATTCTAAGGTAATTCGGCCAATTCTAAAATAGAGAAAAAGATGGCAAGTTTCCTCCCCCAAGGCCTCCCTATTCACTATCTGGTCAGACATTAAGGTAAACATATTACTAGCCTTAGGTTAAACTTTCCCTTCTAGTCATATTCCTCCAACAAATGTTTATCTACCACCTGCCATATGTCAGGCTCTGGGTCCTAAGTAGACAAAACAAATATAGGTTTGGAAGGCAGAGTGTCCAGGAGAGACTAGAGCCACCCCCATTTCTTTCCAATCTGCCAGAGGTGCATGAGTTGATGGTTTGACAAGCCTACTCCCTCCTCCTGCCCAAATCTCCCTGATATAGGAAAGAAACAGACTATACGTTCATTACTGTTTTCCCTGCAGGTTTGGATAACACCTCTGGTTCGTGAAAGTCAGCTGTGATCTTGAAAGATTTATCTTATCTTAAAATAATCCAAACTTTCCAAACAGGTTTCCTGTATGTTTGGCACCTTTGAGTTTGTTCTGGAAGCTTAGATTATATTTCTAGTTACTCCCTGGACTTTTACCGGTATTTGATCTTGGACAGTCACTTCTCCTCTCAGGCTGTTGCCTTATTTGAAAAATGAGAAGGTTCAACTAGAATCAGGCATGTCTTGGAGCCCCTTCCAATTCGAATGGACCCTCATCTCTGACTCCTCAGTGCCATCTTAATGCCTTATACTTAATAAAATGTTAAGTATGATATGATTTAATGAGCAAATAATGATTGTCAAGCTAGTCTACCCAAAATTCTCCCAAGCAAAGGTGTTTAACTTGTGGTAAACTTGGGTAAAATTCAAGATTTGCCAAAAACAATTTCTAAGAGTTCTCATTCTCAATTTTCTTGTTTACCTGCAAAAATACTATGGCAATTTAATGTGCTTTAAACTTTATGTAAAAGGTAAAGATAATACCCACATTTTCTCAGAAATTTGAACATTTTGTTTATATCAGAGCAGGAGCAAGGTGCTTTAGTACAGCCTGATCTGATCAGGTTGGAAATCACTGCTTTAAGGGATGCATTTACCTGCCCGGATGAGGCATGACTATCATTTCTGGCACGTTTTGCAGACTCCTGACCATATTATGTTGTTCTCCGTAGAACGATTACCATGACCCTCTGCTGTGCACAGAACCTTCTTATTAAGTCATCCTCTTAATTCAGTTAAAACAAGCCTGATTTGGAGCAAAATGTTTGACAATGAAAGGAGAGTTCAGAAAAACCTTTTTATTCCAAATCTTTTAATAAACCGACTTGCAATTTCACATACCATTGAAACAGCAGGAAGAGAAAATCCATTCTGAAACATCTGGATGAGCTACTTAATGACATTCCAAGTGCTAAAAGCATAAAGAAGGCCAAAAATTCATGGGCTCACGTTTCAAACATCCTTTCAACCCTAAAAATGCTTCTTTCCTAAAACAAAAACACAGATACTGCTTTGCTTACTATTATAATAATCATGGTACGGGAGCAGAGAAACATTCTTTAAGTCAAAATAGCTCTCTGGAGGTTGCTAACATGGCCAAATACATCCTTCCTGGAAACAGTCAACTAGTTGTTTTCACCGAGTATTGTTATCAACAGTTTAGGGTTGGACTTTACTCTCCTACAGCCACTTACATTGTAAAGAGGATGAAGCAAATTATTCAAAGCAAATCTGTATTTCTTTTTCCTTCCAGAGGGAAAATGATCCCATCTGATCTTGAAAGAAGGATTCTCGAAGCCAAACAGAAAGTAAGTTTCTGCCGGGATCTTTATCCAGCCCATATTTCTATTTTCATCCAGCAGAGAACAAAGTGTGTTTTGGTTTTATTTTAAAAAGAAGATCCAAACCTCAATTTCCCAGGTTTAATGAGAATGTAGAATTCTGCATGCAGCCACTATTTATTTCTCTGGGTTATAGGCTCTGCTTTAGAAAAGTTTAAATTGCTGAATAAATATTATATACAGAGATACAGTGAGAGTTTCCAAAGCATTTGTCTTCCTAGGTACTGAGGGTTGGCATGAAACACACACACATTTGAAAGAGTATTTTCGGAGGCAGGGAAATAGCAGAATGCTAATGTAGTATGTGAGGGACTCTGGTGCGGTTCTTCAAAAGGGGCCAGTTTTTCCTGTCTAGGTGCATGATGTTAGCATTGGCTCTCCAGACATCTTATTTTGCAAGAAGCAATTTAGAACTCTTTTCAGAAGTAACAAGTTTTGAATGCCTGGCCAAGATTCCCAAAGCTCTGGAAAATCATTTACAACCTGGAATGGCTCACAAATCAGAGAATTTGTTTCTAGAATTCTCTGTTTACCATTTGGTAGATATAATCTACAGTTCCTGATTTAATAACATACACATGCATTTATTATTAGGAACTCAGAAATCATTAGTTACGTTCATATGCCCTTATTCGTTTGGTTTTGGTTTACTAAGTGCAGGCAGCAGGAGAAGGTTTCCCTCGTTCTTGTGCAGGTACTAGAACTACTTCTAGTAACATCAACTACAAGATTAAACCTTTGCTGCCACCTAAAGACTGACACTGTAACATCACATTCTACAGACAGGACAGAGTCCTTATGGAATGAGGGACTATGGCGATCCTGTCTGTGGCATTCTGCTGCCTTCTTCCAGCCTGTTACTTCAATCAGTTTTCATTTAGCCATGGCCAGAGAGACTGAGGACTAGTTAGATGGATAAAAGTCATGGCTTAGTATTTTAGCTCCTCCGTGCTGAAATGCCAAATGAATTATCTGGGCATTTTCCAAATAGGATTAATGGGCTGGTCAAAGCTACTTCTCTTCATTCTCCTGCCTACTCACTCTAGGGGATTTATGAAGTTCAGAGGCCTCGGTGTGAATAAGGAACACTTGAAAGTGAGCAAAGGGGGTTAAAAGGGCCAGAAAGTCTACTGGGAATATATACATGTATCGGGGACATCCCTTGACAGCCTCTGGGTTCACTACAGCTTCTTCTGAGAATCGAAATGTCTGTTCTTATAAGACACAGTCAGGTCCAACAGCATGGCCTAGAGAACTCAGATTCCAGAGAGTGAACATCAATTTGTCGCAGACCTCGGGGTGTCAGTAACTCTTCTGCTGCTTCCCCAAATTCAGACGAGTCTGTTAGGGAGATAATTCCCATTGCTTGGAATCAGCTTTTTAAAAGAACCCTTGACTCTGTTTCCCATGATTTGGGGCTTTCTCGTTTGCACAGGGATTTGTTCCTTTCCTCGTGAGTGCCACAGCTGGAACCACCGTGTATGGAGCATTTGATCCGCTCTTAGCTGTCGCTGACATTTGCAAAAAGTATAAGATCTGGATGCACGTGGATGTAAGTATCCCGTAGGGACTGGCCACTAAAATGTCCTTGGACGTTTTTCATCTGGTACACATGAAGGAAATTTCTTTTCTTTTTTTTAACTTGATCAGCTTATTTTCAGAGTGGTGATATTAATGCTTTTAAAGATGGCTGAAGCAAATTAACACACAACTCACACAGTACACACCATGCACCAGAAGCATCCCAAAGTTGATTATACCTTAATGTCCCCAACATGGTAATATTTGTATTTCTATAATCAGTACCCAGGCTGACCACTTAGTTCTCAATTCATTGAGCCGTTGCATTCATGGAGGAATATAACCTACGCACACAGTCCCACTCTTCCTCACTTACCAGAATGGTCAAAAGAGTAAAAAGGAGTTGCATTTATGTAGGAAACCCAGAGAATTAAAAAAAAAAAAACCAACAACAACTAAAGCTCAAGTTAGATATTCCTATATTTAGAGAGGAAAATGGCTTGACAACTTCCTGCGAAATAAGGACCACCAAAGTTCCAATTCCTTAGTTTGATCAGCTAAGAAGATAGATTATATTTGAAACGTTTTGACTTCAGGCCTTGTCACACTAAAAAATAATGAAGGTGTTCCCTCCAGAACATTTTCCAATGAAAAAAAATGTGTTAAGTTTTAGAAGGACTGAAGGGATTTAAGTTTAGACTAGTATTACTCCAAGGGTGGTTTGAAGATTAGCTACCACCTGCAAACTATTAGTGATCCATATGAGATAAAGAGTTTGTGCCAAACCATTATCAATCACAAACCATCACAAACTAAGCGCGATGCTTGGCTCAGCTGATAATTTTTTCATTGCAAGACTTTCTCAGTGAAGGAAGGCATAAGTTGATGTTCATTCGAGCGCAAGATCCTTATATTGTCGTGGGCCAGCACTGGGTCTAAGCCAGGGCTATAACAATGATCTAGCCCTGGCTAGATCATTTTGGCTTTATAATAATTATTCAGACCAAATTAATGCTCTTTTTTTTTTCCTTTTTGAGACAGAGTCTTGCTCTGTCACCCAGGCTGGACTGCAATGGCGTGATCTCAGCTCACTGCAACCTCCGCCTCCAGGGTTCAAGCAATTCTCCTGCCTCAGCCTCCTGAGTAGCTGGGATTACAGGCATGCGCACCCACGCCCAGCCAATTTTTGCATTTTTAGTAGAGATAGGATTTCTCCATATTGGCTGCTCTCAAACTCCTGACCTAAGGTGATCCACCTGCCTTGGCCTCCCAAAGTGCTGGGATTACAGGCGTGAGCCACCGTGCCCAGCCTCATTAATGCTCTTTTCTTTAGGAGCAGAACATTTCTACAGACTTAGCATTTCCATTATTCCAGAGTATTCCTGCAAAGCAATCACCCATCTTCTTTACCCTCCCTGATTCATGTGTGAGTCGTTCATTAGGCTACCAGAGCCCCTTTCATTTTACGCATGAGGACACTGAGAAAAGACTGAACCACCCGGTGCCATTAGTGACCTGGGCCTCAGGACTGGAAACCCTGTTAGGCCTTGCTGGCTGATTCAGGAAGAGGATTACCTGACAACTTCAGAAATGAGAATGTCTGTGTGTCCTGAGCCAGCAGAAGCTATGGGCCATTCCTGTGGGCCTCCTACTTAAATTAGAACTAGGGAATCTTTTAACCAGTTCTATTAGCTTTTCTTTGAAACATACCAAGTTTACCACTTACTCTTATTAGCTTTAACATTCATACAGTCTATAAAGTAGAAAGAATCTCAAAATAGTACACATTTGGAATATTAGATAATTTTTCAAAGTGCAAAAGAACTGGGCCAGGCGCAGTGGCTCATGCCTATAATCCCAGCACTTTGGGAGGCCGAGGCAGGTGGATCACCTGAAGTCAGGAGCTCAAGACCAGCCTGGCCAGCATGGTGAAATCTCATCTCTACTAAAAAGACAAAAATTAGCCAGGCATGGTGGCGGGTGCCTGTAATCCCAGCTGCTTGGGAGGCTGAGACAGGAGAATCGCTTGAACCCGGGAGGCAGAGGTTGCAGTGAGCCAAGATCGCACCATTGCACTCTAGCCTGTGTGACAAGAGCAAAACTCTATCTCAAAAACAAAACAAAACTAAAAAAGAACTGAACTTACAACAAAAGGTGGGGGAAGCAATTATATCATAAAGGAATTTTATGATCCCTTTAAAATTATCCTAGAATTAATTGTACACACAGAGGAAAGAAAGTTAATATTTCCAAATTAATCTCCATCTTGGCATTCTGTTTTTAAAGGAGATTACTACACCAATTCAAATCTTCAACCTTGATCAAGTACAAATTTTTAAGGCGTGTGTTCTAATTGCTTAGCTAATTAACTGGTATGAATCTTTGCAGCTTGTGGATTTTGGGTGGGGTTTTTTTGGACCCAGAAATTATCCAAAATCACACATCAGTGAAATAGAGTTATGAAGCCACTTCCTATTTCTGGAATCATTTAGACTTGTCAAAAGAGTTTTCCCTGCCACCTGGAAGCTGTTTAATGCCCCTCCTGCCCATCTTCTCTGCCTTACACTGTGGGGACCACAGGGTTTCTCATTCTGAGAACATGACTTCACGAGGACTAACAGTGCTGGTGATAGGTTTGGGAGAGGGTCTTTCTCCCTCTCCTGTGGACCAGGAACTATGCCTCCAAGGTGGCTCCTTACACCCATATAAATGTGGGATGGAGTCTGGAGACCTTAGAATGGCCCTTCAGTGTAAACTCTGAAGGTTAGTGCCAGAAGAAGGTGGTCAACTTCCTGAGTGGCCTGGGGTCAAGGAGATCATTTTCACCCTAAGAGACTCTCGTTAGTCTGGAAGACACCAGACTATAGAAATCTAGGCAATGACAAACTGCTGCCATTTTCCTTGTATGATCTTTTTTCAGGCAGCTTGGGGTGGAGGATTACTGATGTCCCGAAAACACAAGTGGAAACTGAGTGGCGTGGAGAGGTATGTTGCATTTTTCTTATTAACAACATAAAGTCATAAAGTGTTGAAAGCTAACTGTGAAACACAAATTACAATCAATTTCCAGGAACTCTTGGAATACTGAGGGAGCTCACTCTATTCAGTGCTTTTGTTCCTTGCCTTATGTGATGTTACACTCATGAATATGGGTAAACAACAGAAAAATCAAATATGTAAATATTATGTGTAAACAACAGAAAAATCAGAATACACATCAAGTGACCCAGGTAGAATGTCTTCCAGACATAGAGATTCCTATCTAGGGTCTATTCCTGGGATCTCTGAACCAACCACAAAAATTGTTTAAAACCTGCAGGCAACCCACGTTTTTCTAGGGAGAAGATTTATAGCTTTCATGTTTCATAAAAGGATAATATCCACTGCTTAAAAAAAAATAATAATAATAATTTTGCAAAGCAAATAAGCACCTTGTAACTTATCAGTGTTGAAAGTTTGGGCTTGGGGTCTAAGATGGCCAGTTCACTTAAAGTGAAACATACTAACAATAGCCTCATCTCATGGTTTCATTCCCGGAATAACCTTTCTCTGACACAGCTCCGACTGATGCTGCAAAGCACCTTTTATTTAGAGCCTACGCAGAAGACTGTTGAGAAATGCTGAAAAACACGAAGGCAGTGATATCTGGTTAGCATAAACCACTTTCAGGTCCAAAGAAAAGAGAAAAACAGAATGCAAAATACAGGCTCTGGTTCTGAACCACATGCAAGGGGAGCCCAGTTCTCTCATCACAACACGGCAGGTCAGACACAATGGTGAGCTCTGACACTCCAGGCGACCAAGAAAACCTGAATTCATCAGAGGCTGCCAAATGCCCACCATCCCCTGCCAAGTCCCCAGATGCTGCCCAGGAAAGGCGTCACACTGGCTCTGCCACTAGACATCTTGGCACAGTTTCTGTTCCAGGACAAGGAGAGACACTGATGGAGCGCAGAAGCACTTGTGAGCCCTGGGCATGCAGGAGGCCCAGGCCAGAGTGGCTGTGTAGGGTGTGTGATGTGACACCGGGGCCTAAAACGCACAGAGAACCCGTGAGTGTGGAAAGAGAGGGGTAGGGTTACTAGGCTGGAGTCAAGAGCGTCCCGCTGAATTAATGGAAAGAAAGCAAAAAAGAGTTGGGTTACACCAGCTAAGGCCCATGTCAGAAGGGTCACTGTCCCTGAGTCTGATGGCCAGGGTCAGGACCTAGCCGGGGCACAGCTGGGTTAAGGCACCTGGAGCCCCCCAAGCGCTGATTGCAGGGCCCCATTTAGACGCCGGTGGATGAGGGCAGGCGTGTCTCCCTCCCAGAGTCAGCCAGTGCCAGGCCTCTGCTCTTGGACCTTGGGGCTTCTCCCAGGCCTAATCCCTTTCCATCTTGAAGATCTGCAAGAAAGCAGAAGCTTAAGGAAGAGGCAATGAAGTAAGCAGGGAGAGACAAGAGAGAGAGAAAGAGAACAACTTGAAAGGTGGCTGCCCGCACAATCAGAACAAGAATTAAATTCATGTGCTTTCAAGAGAGGTGGCCTATCTACAGGTCTTTCTCTTCTGTGAGTTTCTGACTGGCACAAAAAGTCTGTTACTTTACCTTTGATACCACCTGCGACTGCACGTGCTGAAAGTACTGGCACATCTTCCACTTAAAAACTCACTAAATTACCTACCTTGAGCCTTAGAAAAATAAACACCCACACGATTCTGTACCAAAGACTATTATTTGAGAGCAAAGCTTAGAACGTTCATCAGGGAACACAGAGTTCCCTCTTACTGCCACAATTCTTGAAACTGTACTATAACTAAACTTTTCTAATGGAATAACCATTTATGAAGTCCTAAAAATGAGGGGGCTACTGGTGTTCCACTCTAAGCAGAATCCCCTTAGCTACCCATTTACCTGAGGTTACCCCTCTCTCACTGACTTATTAGCAAAAGGCATACTTTCAAAGTGAATATAGTTGGAAGACCAGTGGAAACCACTTAATGTGTCTGGCCGCAAGTTTAGGAAAGAAATGTGTCTCACTTAGGGAATGACATTTTTTTCAAGTTCCGCAAACCAAAGTTTAGAACTCACTCTAAAAGTAGAGGAAATCCATGGTCAATTCTTGTCCCCAAATCCAGAGGCTCCTTCGTAGTCACAGGGGATGTGAATGCCATTCTCACACAAAATGGCGCAAGGGGACCGGGCACAGTGGCTCTTGCTTGTAATCCCAGGACTTTGGGAGGTGGAGGTGGAAGGATCATTGAGGCCAAGAGTTCAAGACCCACCTGGGTAACAGAGTGAGACTCCATCTCTACAAAATGAATTTTTTTTTAATTAGCCAGGCATGGCGGCATGCATGGCTGTGGTCCTAGCTACTCAGGAGACTGCGTGAGGCAGGAGGATCACTGGAGCCCAGGAATTCAAGGCTACAGTGAGCTATGATGGCACCACTGCACTCCAGCCCGGGCAACAGAGTGAGACCCCATCTCTAAAAAAATTAAAACAATAAAATAAATAAATAAATAAATAAAATGGCACAAACATCTGGAGCCCTGTCTGGCATCCCCTTTGAGAACCAACCAAATTCTCAGAAAACAGCTCTCTTCCTTGCTAGCACTGTCAAAATGTCTAGAGATGGTGCTGCTGAGAGGGCACACCACAAGCCCTGAGACTCCAGAGCACGACTCTGTGTATTGTATTTTTATTTCTTTTTATTTTTATTTATTTATTTTTGAGGTGGAGTCTCACTCTGTCACCCAGGCTGGAGTGTGGCGGTGCAATCTTGCCTCACTGCAACCTCTGCCTCCTGGGTTCAAGCAATTCTCCTGCCTCAACTTCCTGAGTAGCTGGGGTTACAGGTATGCACTGCCATGCCTGGCCAATTTGTTTGTTTGTTTGTTTGTTTGCTTGTTTGTATTTTTAGTAGAGATGGGGTTTCACCATGTTGGCCAGGCTGATCTTGAACTCCTGACCCCAAGTGATCTACTCGACTCAGCCTCCCAAAATGCTGGTATCACAGGCGTGAGCCACCACACTGGCCTCTGCATCATACTGACTCATCTTTAGTCCCTCCTGCCCACAGGCTGCTGCTTACCGTAATCATCCTCTGATATGTTGTACTCTCAAGGCTTTCAGTCCCAGCTGAAGGTACTGGTGCAGTTTCTGCCGCATCACCAGTTACCCTCACTCCTGCCCTGAGAGTCAGGTGTTCAGGATTTAATTAGATCATTGCTGAACCTCTGTCATATGCAAGTCACAGCGCATGGCACTGCGTGGGTGCAGAGACGGGTATGGTATAAAGCTTATCTTCAAGGAGTTTAGAATCTAGTGGGGAAGATTGTCAGTAAACAGTGGATTAAAATTGAAAGCAAGGAAGCAAAGGCTGGAGAGACAGACATGGGAGCTGATTGGAGAGCACAGAGAAAGGAATGGTTCCTTCTGTGATTACAGAGAGGTTTCACCAAGCAGAGCAGCATCGGAGCTGAGCATCACGGCATACAGGGTACTTCATCGGGCAGAAATGGAAAAGGGCATTCAGGCTGAAGAGACACGGAAGTGTGAAAGTGCACAATGTCTTGGAGAAAGTTCAAACAAGTTTGGCTGGAGGATGACATGGTTTCACAGCAGTGGCCAGGTCATGGGTGGAAAGTACAGAAGTCTTGGCCAGCCCCCGGGGCCTTCCCACAGAGCCAGGTCAGAATCCACGGGGCTTCTTTCCACGAAACATAGATCCCTGAGCTGGGAGTCACTGCTGTGTGGCTGCCATGATGCATGGATATTATTAGATTCCTTGGGGGGACAAAACCCATCGAAAACCTTTGCTGCAGGAGCCCTAGCAGGCTTTGAGCAGAGGTACAATGTGATCTCACCTGTGTTCTGGCGTTAACTCCGCATTAGAGAGGAGATGGGATCCAGGGACAGACTGGAAGCTGTTAAGCTCTTAGGAACGTCCAGGTGCAGGACAGGAGAGAAGCTGAGTGTGACTTAAGCTGTAGTAGCAGAGAAGGAAGTAAGTGCATGGACCTAGGAGACAGGGAGAGAGAATCTAAGGGGCAATATCAAGACAGGGGGAAGAAGAGTGAAACCAAGGACGACAGTGAGGTTTGGAGGCTGGAGGCCTGGAAGGAAAGTGGTGCCAGGAACACAGAATATAGAGGAGAAAGAATCAATCTAGAAGGTTGAGCAGTGGCGAGTGGGGCCTATGGATTTGAGGCACAAATAAGAGCACAGGGAGATGTCTTACAACAGCCCTGCGGGATTCCGTTCTCTCCAACTTACACAAACTGCAGAAGCCACATGACCGAATCCCACAGCAAAGCGTTTTAAAATGAACCTGAGGCTGTTTTTTTGGTTTTTTGTTTTTTGCTTTTAACAAATTGCCAACATTTCTCAAATCAAGGCCATGTCATCGAATCCATCTGCAGGGCTTTTTGCCATCTTTTTGCCTCTGAGAGAGAGGTGGGACAGAGAATTCAGTGACAGGTAGTTGTGAGCCTTGGCAGCTTCTCTTCTGAAAAGACAAATAGGCCTCCGCGTAGAGATAAACACCACAGTCAGACATGGAAGACAGCTGGTTTTCTCTCCCATCAGGCATTCTTATTGACAAAGCTGAGTTTATCAGAGTTAGACATCTAGCCGTAGAACATGATGGAATGTATAGAATGGCTGTGTGTACATACGTGCACGGTCTCACCAAGTTCACAAATGACAGAGATGAAATCTGTTATGCCCAGACCGTTTATTCCCCGAAGAAGACCACCAGAGTCCAGAGTCAAAGCTAAGCAGCAAGGATCTTTATTACAGGTTCGAACCTGGAACTCTCCCTCGCTCGAGAAACGAGACGGGCAGGAGAGCTCCCCCACTGAGCTCCGAACAATGTTATATAGTCTAAGAAAAGTGGGCATAGAGTTATTATACAAATCAG